GCTTTTGTTCGCGGAAGTTTTGCGTTTATTCGCGAAGTTACGCGGTATTACGCGAAAGTTACGCGTTAATTCTGGAAAATTTCGCGTTATAACGCGAAAATTTTATTTCCTTAACCTACGAAAATGAGCTAAGTGGGCTTTTGTAGGTACCCCTTGCTTTCAATAAAAGAAAAATTAAGTCTTCTGTATGAACAGTGAAATGATCTACCTCCGATTCTGCCAGGTCGTTGCTGTGTGGCTAAACATATAGCATTTATTTTGGAATTGTATCCAACCAACTTCACATCCTGAAAAATCAATTTAGGATGTATTAGAGAAAATGTGATTGTATATTTGATCCGAAAATTATTGACCAAATGGAAATCATATGGCAAATATGCATAATATAAAACTCAGAAGATAAGTATGTTGCTTCCTTGGTCACGTATCATACAATGAAATGTGGAGATTTACAAAAGAGTTTATTATACCTCATTATAAATATTCTAAACAACGCGTTATCTGATTGGTTCTAAGTTATCACGTGATCGGGCCGTAAAACTTCATATTTCCCGGCCGTCCGCACGCATTTCATCATATTCCATAGCCTGGTCCCCTGGCTCATCCTTTGCCAAGGCAGGAGAGCCAGGTGGATTACATTCTATGCTTTCCTTTGATTGGTCAGAAGAATGCGCGCTAAATCGTGGGTATTTGAGCCGTTGCCGTTAACCACGGAAATAAATATCGACGTAACAATGACACATTACGTCGACGACGTAGAAAAATACGACGTCACAATGAACGTCTTCACCGGAAGCGCAGCCATATTGGACGTCACAATGGACTAAGATTCAGGGCGGATTTGCCCTGAATCCATTGTACTCCACCTGGCCCTAGTGACGCAGAGTATACGAAGCAAAACAGGGACAGGGAACCAGGCTACATATTCCACCTCTTCGGAACACCTAGTGTATTTTCCCGCAATATAGTTCTTGTTCGGTGAACTAAAACTCCCGAGAAAAGTAGACGTCACAATAGCCTGGTTTACGTCACAAAACTGATGATAATGTGTTGAACAAAGGGTTTTATACAAACTTTTCGTAAAAAATGAAAATGCATTTGAGAGAAGTGCCGAATTTGAAAGTTTATGTTTATTTCAAAGGTTTTGCTTGTTTCGGTATAATAAACAATTCATTGCATGATAGTGAGGGAAATATGAAGACTTATTCAGCTAAGAAATTTAATATAATTCCGTCGGGCGAAGCCCTCAGGGAATATGATTTTTCTTGACTGAATAAGTCTTCATATTTACCTCACTATCATGCAATAAATGTATAACATTAATCAAGTTCAGAAGTCCATTGCAGACTATAAGTAATACAAATATTGAGCACAGTTCTTTAAAAACATCAGGAGTGGGATCGGCTGTCATGGAGGAGTAAGCATCCCCTTGTCGACCTGTCATATCAGCCATGTTCTCCTTGTCTTGATCGGGCAAACGGAATTCAGTGTCAGTAATGGTGTAAATTAATTACCAAAAAACTTTTTAATTGATATTCATAAAAAACAATAATCTGAATTTCAATTCTTGGTGAACTATGAAGATAACAAACAGTAATCATTTCAGAGGTCCATTTAACAATACAAATCAGGAGAGGAGTAAACACGGAACTGTAAAACACTCAGAGGTGGGATCAGGTGCCATGGAGAAGAAAGCATTCCCTGTCGATCGTTTACGCCCGCCGGATGTCCCTTGTCATGATCGGGGACAGCTGAAAATCCCAAAAAGTTGACAATCCCCAAACAATTTATTGTTTTATAAAATGTATAATAACTAATATGAAAAACATTAGTTAGCAATTATAACTAAATGACAGATTGTATTTTCTAACAAGGTCATTATATCGAAACAACAGGGGTCGGTAACATACAAGTACTATATTTGGTAAAGAAGAAGGTACAGTTTCAATACAAATCCTGCCCTGTGATTTTCTTAAAATTGAAACTGATGTAAAAAATGAAAACTCATGTATTTTGAATTATTGAAATTCCATGTATAAAATTATACAAATCATTTTTCTAACATGCATTTCTAAATGCTAATTGTGACATCATAAACATGTGCATTTTCCCGTATTTTCTTAAAATGCTGCAGAAGACAACAATTTTCAATGGAATTTTCTTTTAGAAAACATTGTCCACAGGCATCGCCCACAAAGATTTTTAGATATGTGTTTTTACATTGTATTTTACACAACATATCCAAAAATTAAAGTGGGCGACAGCTGTGGACAATATTTTCTAAAGGAAAATTCCCCTTGAAATGGGTCATTTTGCAGCTTTTTCTGTTTGAAATAGACAAATACATCAAATTAATGACGTCATATTTCCAGAATGTACTCCTTTATGCCAATTTTTTCCCTGGTCTTTCAAATTCATAAACTTAAGTAATATTTAGGCCAGTTTCAGAACTTTTTAAAAACATTTATTTTTTAGGGCACAATAATGCTAAAACCATACCTTCTTCTTTAAAAAAAAAATACATAAATTTGATATTCCGTCTGGTTTTAAATAAAGTCACCTTTTATAAATTCTACATCATATGTAGTTAATCGTCCTTAAAGTTTTTTTGTTTTTTTATTGAAGTTTATTCAATATGATTGATATATAGTATGTTGTTTTACGTCCCAATCATTCAATATGAAAAAAAGAATACCTTTCGTACAAATGACAGTACCAAGAACAAGGAGTGCGGTGGTTAGCTTCATTCTTCTAAGTACGTAATATGTAAATGTATGATTTCTTATCTTCTAGATAATAAATGTACGAGAAAATGGCTCCAAAACAAGAGAACGAGGTTACATAATATGCAAAAATCCTCGATTTTCAAATGAAAGTTCTTTAATATAATTTAGGGAAGTTATGACGTTAGAAAAATTGAAGCATTCTGATTGCTATATGAATTAATACACATGTTTGTATATAGTCTGATACCATCGTTTATCCCTAGTAAATTACTTGTATTAGACATACGCGTTGAATGCTATTTATTGACTCAACGAATTATTGACAAAATGTCTCAAGTGTTTTTAAAATACCACAAAAAAGTAGTCCCGCTGAATTCTCAAACCAAGTCAGTCAGATCCACAAAACGTGGCACTTTCTGTTAAGTTTTGGTGTTTTTCTTGCCAGATTATAATTCTAATAAGTTGCCCCCCCCCCCCCCCACTATCTGGTCAGTGGTCAAGGCTTTTATTGGGGGGGGTAGAGCTTGTAAGATTTTTTTTGGGGGGGGGGGTTAAGCCCCCTCCCCTACTTTTGAAACAATTGCTACGTACTTGCAAGTACACTTGTAAACAAGAGGCTCATGGGCCACATCGCTCACCTGAGCATATGGGCTAGTTAAACAACACAAATCAGCCAGTATTGAAAAGTTTACGTGTTAGGGGAGAAGGGATTTGAATTTTTTTTTAGTTGAGAATGTCACTGTATCAATAAAACATATATGTATAATTTTGCCATACTTGAGAAGAAGAGTTTCAAAGATTTTTCCTATATATTTAGTTTAAAATGTATTTATTCAAAGAAATGGATTGAACAGCAGGCATAACTGCCTCTGATCATTCTCTCCATAGGTCAAGGTACAATTACAAGTACATGTAAACACTGAAAAAACTGTATGAAGAGTAGATTATCAATTGGTACATATTTAGAATGAATTCAGAGGTAAAGATTCTATGTAAAGATTTGATTGCCCATTATGGCCACATTTTACCCCTAGGGGTCATGATATGAACAAACTTGAATTAACTCTAGCTGTCTTTACTGAGGATGTTTATTGTTTCCATATCAGTATCACCAATCAGAGCTTTACTGATCTTAAGAATATGATTTTAAAATAATTTTTCCCATGCATTCCTATGTAAAACTTTGATCGGCTATTGTGGCCCCGATTTGAACAAACTTGAATCTACACTACCTGAGGATGCTTCCACATTAGTTTCATCTTTTTGGCCAAATGGTTTTGGAGAAGAAGATTTTTAAAGAGTTTTTTCCTATATATTCCTATGTAAAACTTTGATCAGCCATTGTGGCCCCACCCAACCCTTGGGGGTCATGATTTGAACAAACTTGAATCTACACTACCTGAGGATGCTTCCACACGAGTTTCATCTTTCCTGGCCCAGTGGTTGTGGTGAAGAAGATTTTTAAAGATTTTTCCTATATATTCATATTAAAAACTGTGATCAGCCATTATGGCCCCGTCCTATCCCCGGGATCATGATTTGAACAAACTTGAATCTACACTACCTGAGGATGCTTCAACACGAGTTTCATCTTTCCTGGCCCATTGGTTCAGGAGAAGAAGATTTTTAAAAGATACCATTAATTTTTCATTAATTCATCATTATCTCCCCTTGGAAATGGGCTTGGCCCTTCATTTAAACAAACTTGAATCCCCTTCACCCAAGGATGCTTTGTGACAAGTTTGGTTGAAACACAGGGACTTGCTCCTGGCGTGTAAAAAATATTTGCGAAAAAAAAAACAATATACTAGTGTAGTTTTATATCGTTTTTTTTTCACAAATATTTTTACACGCCAGGAGCAAGTCCCTGTGGATGAAAGTGGCCCAGCGGATCTTGAGAAGAAGATGAAAATGTGAAAAGTTTACAACGACAACAACGACAGACAGATTTTGATCAGAAAAGCGCATTTGAGCCTTCAGCTAAAAATAAGTGTTAAAGAAATAACTACGGAAAATAAACACTTCAACTACTTTCATATCTCAGTGGCTAATTTTCAGTTGCAAGGTATAGGGTAAATGAATCTTAGATTTACAGTCAATTGATAATAAAATAATATAATCATGCGAATTACACTGCGATAAATTTCCTAGAGCACACACAAAATAAAAATCTTGGCCAAATATCCAAATATCTTGAGAAGTTTCAGAATTTTAGGAATCGGGCTCAAGATGCTAAAAACGTCTTTCGTTTACAGATTTGTTTAAACTATGACTATTCTAAAAAAAAGTCTTTAAAATAGATCAAGTAGCCCACAGATAGGATAATAATTTTAGGATCATGTCTTCGTCCATATTACGCAAGAGTTTACAGTTATTTGATGAAGAGGACCAGGAGGGGAAAGGTGAATACATTCATTCAATTCATTTTTTTCGGAAATTTTCCTGTTTGTGTTTTTTCTAATGGGTGCCAGTTAATGAATGTAGGCCTGCTACTGTCATTCTAATGGCATGTTTGTAGGCCTACATGCACATCATATTCTAATACAAATTAATTTCGCCCCTAGTACCCTACACCAGAAATTCATTGCATTTGACTTTCTAATCTCCGAAATTTCTTAATACAGTAGTCACAAAAAAAAAATCAATGGCAAAAATGCCAAATAAAAAACAATGATTGCTGAATTCACCAGATTCTAGATAGAACGTTCTCTTGTTAAATACATATTGTCCTATGGACCTGGTCACGGCTTGTCCCGGGAGTCGGGACACAGATTAGGCCTAGAAAAAAAATATGTTTGTTTCCGCTTTCAGGCTGAAAAAATATAGGGTAGGTAGGTAGGCAATTTTTTTTTTTTTTTAAATTTTTTTGCTTCTTTAATCAAAACGTGTATAGAAGTAACATTAATGACAAAAGAAATGGTGTTTTCAAGCATTACTGTGACTTAACTTATAATAGAAAGGTGACCCAAACTTCTTTCTGTCTTGAAAAGCTTGCAAAGTTGGAGGCTATAATTCCCTGGTTGAAATCTTGGACATCATGGGACAAAAGCATTAAAAAAATATTTAGGGTCGGCACTATAAATTAGGGTCGGTCGGGAAAGCGGAAACAAACATATTTTTTTTCTAGGCCTTATTCTAACCAACCAGATTCTGATAACGAATTTATTAGGTATCGATTTCATCAGTGCCACTGCCTTTACCTGGTTTTTACTGTCCACATAAAAATTTACCTATCTTCTAGGCCTAGATTAATTTCATACACGAAGAGGCTTCGATCTGTTTTTAAGTCTGAATAATTGTCCAATAAATTGTGTTGCCACAGGGGCTTGCTCTAGGCATGTATAAAATAATTGTTTTTAAAAAAAAAACGTAATGATGTACAAAAGCGTGTTGTTTTAGAATATTTTATGTTTTTAAATTAAATGTTTTTAACACACCACTGCCACTAGACAGAGCAAGCCCCTGTCGCATTTAGTGTCTTCTTACATGTACCTTATACCAATCGCATCATCTCAAGTCTTTTTGTCAGAAAAACAACCTCAAATGAATAAACATCACCAGATTTAAAAATTTATACGTCTTCCTGTTTATTTGAATATGTGATAGACAGATTTAAAAGTTCCTTCTATTGTTTATTTTAGGTAATATATTTACATTCCATAAAGTTAAACTTCATACTCCAGAGATAAGAGGTCATCCCACATTTATTTCAAAGTTTAGTAATTTACAAGGGGGTTGTCAGGGTGTCTATGTAATACATTAGTCGGTAAGGTCTTAGAAGTTGTGATTGACCTTATACAGTACTGTACATTCAATGTTATTAGACTTCTGTTAAAATGTTTCCTATATAAGGTTCAGAAGGTAAAATAGTTATCTTTTATAGTTCTCGAATAGCTAAGCTATACCCCGGGGTATAGTTTTTGCTATCCACCCTCGGAAAATTGTCATGCAATTTTTGCCTCCAATTTTGATTTACAGCGATAAATCTATTGACTTATGATGTCATAATGACTTCAGTAGCATTGTGACGTCATCAGGATTTCAGATTATTCTTGCAGTATTATCTTACTCCAAAATAATTCAAACCTCAGAAATTATATTATACATCAGTATAATAAAATGCTTATCCACTGTTTGTGATTGACAGGGACTATTCCCTCAGGCAAGCCCTCGGGAATAGTTCCCTGTCGCAGGTTTGATAAAAGAGCTATTCCAATCACAAACAGTGGATAAGTGTATACTGTTCTTGGGAGCAGTCCTTTTGGTCCCTTCTACAGCTGTTTTTGGTGCTATCGTATATCAAATTACATAAGTATATTAATATACAAGTACAATAAAGAATTTGAAAATATGATGATGACAATATACATGTTCTTAAACTAATACCAGGCAGTCTGAAGAAAAGAAAAGGAGCTTCAAAAGATGTTAGAATCATGGAGGACTCTTCAAAGCGAGGCATCAAGAAGCGCAAGAAGAAACAACAAACCAACAAAGCCAAGACAAAGCGCTCAAAGGAATCAGCTCTAGGTATAAATAGAAAGTAAGTGTAAAATCTTAATGATTTCATGTGCATTGTCAGCCATTGTGCAATTTTTCTCAAACATACATTTACATTGACAATGGAATTCTGCAGTTTACTCCCTCATAATCTTTGCTAGCTGCCTTAAAAAAATTTGCCTTTTAAATCTCATTATATCAGCTTCAAGGTTGATTTATTGTAAAATAGTTCATATTTTTCAGAGACATACAACAGAAATAAATCCCTGGACTTTACTGAGGAATCTCTGCATTATCTCAACATGATTTCGAATATTGGAGGAAAACCTGATTCCAAGACTGTAAATACTGTAGGTATCTGTATCATGGTACAGTACTGTACAATATCTTTGTTAACAAAGAGTAGAGAGTACTAGCTTTATATATAATAGTACAATTGACATCCGAAGAAATGCATTAAATTTTGCTGTGATGTTTTAAGTTTGTTTTCTAAGACCACTTTAAATTCATATAACATACTTTATCTTGAACAAAACAAACCCATTTATGACCGTTTTATATTAAAGATGCAAAGTTATTTACATGTATTTTAAAAAAGTGTATTTCTAGAAAACTTACCCTGTTAATGAGTAACTTTAATCTCAATAAATAAACAAAAGCATTTTGAGAACCTAAAATCTTTATAAATTAACAAATCTTAAATCAAAGATGAATGAATTCGAGGAGCTTGTTTTTGTAGATTTTGGAACATAACAAGGGGAGATCATCCAAGAACCGCAAGGAAATGGAGACCAAACCAGCATCAGAGTCTATATTTAGTGAGAAGGACTTTGAGGATTTTAAGAAAGAATATTTAAATTCATGACATGTACATGTATATCTATCATTATGATTGTGTTTATATTTAAATTCATGAAATGTACATCTATCATTATGATTATGTTTTAGAAATAAGTATTGACAGTTTGAATGTGGTACACACATAATTTAATATTATTGCATTAAACAAAATCTGTGACTTGGGATACTGCTACCATTTGTTTTCTAAGACTTGGGAGGTTTCTAATTTCTGATGAATATTTATGTGAAGACACTTCCATAGTTCATGAAGTGAAGGGTCAATGCATTTACATACGGATTTTGGTTTGCACAGTTGGGACTAGAAAACTGTCAATTCTCCGTTATGACCCAATACTGAATGATGAATAAATGAAAGGTACTGGTATATAATATTACTGATCCGTGCATTTTTTCCAAATAAAAATGTCCAAAGATTGTGTTAAATTTGTTCTTGATGTATTTAGATGAACTGTGAAATCACTAATTTTCGCATGGTTAAATTTTCATGGTTTTCAGGGCATGAAGAGACCAACAAATTTATGTCCACCATGAAATGAAATTTTTCACATATACCATACAAGTATTACTACTGAACAATTCTTAAACCACAAAATCAAATCTCCATGAACCAATGTATTTTCCTGAAACCACAAAAAATTGACCCCTCGAAAATATGTGATTTTACAGTAACTGAATTTTTCCCCTTTTGTCAGTTGTATAAATCTGAAAGGGAGATAATCTTTGTTTTGCATCATTTTAAAAATCGGCTGGTTTGAAAAGTGGTCAGGAACTTTCTGCACAAGGTGCATGTGCAATTGGAAAGAAAAATAGGATAATAAATTGGACCTACTTTTGAAAAACCCAAACTTTTCCAACAACTTCTGAATGGTGTAGTCTCGTTTACCCCAGACTCTCGCTCTCGAGACTTTGCCCGAGCGAGAGTCTGGTCTGATTCCTATTTAATTTTTGTAACCAGTAGAGGTCGCTAAACCGGCTAACAAGATGGCGACTCCCGTGAAAATACATGTGAGAATTTACTTTTTAAACAAAGATGTGTGCGTTTTTTGTTCCTTGTAAAGCAGACAAAGGTATTTTATTATAAAACGAGATAAAAGTAAAGGCGCACCCTCTGACTTTTCAAAGAATATATATCTTAGCATCGAAGAGAATGTATCAGCCAATGAAAATCCATACCGATTTCTCGGTAAGCCTCGATTTGAAATTACAAAAATTAAATAGGAATCAGACCAGACTCTCGCTCGGGCAAAGTCTCGAGAGCGAGAGTCTGGGGTAAACAAGACTACTGAATGGTGGTGCTAGGGCTTTCATATTTTACGAGTGTTCCCTGTGTCCAGACCTTTCTTTGGTTAGCAACACTTTATGACCTTGGGAGGTTTCATCTACTTTTTTCAGACTTTAATCTTGGGTATGAACTGTCATATTAGGCATCAATCTTTTACACAAACCCACAACTTGTTACTTTTCTAAACAATTAAAAATACTATAAGTAAAATAAAAATTTTAAGCATATATAAAATTCTTGTTTAAAAAAATCATGATTTAAACTCACAATTACACTGTTTAAAACAGAAAAGCCATTTCTTTTGACAAGTAAAATTTTATTACACTTTAATGGTTTACACATGTAACAGAAGTTACACAATATACCAGTCCTTTACAAAATAACACTGTAACTGAGGTATCAGTCTCCATTAATATCCTTGACCTTTTATTGAGCTTCCTGGTAAATCATCTTCATGAGAACCAGAACTCTGCAATGAAGAGAAGAAAATTAAAATCAGATGTAATACTAAACAGAGGTTCAAGAGCCACTACTCTTACCTGAGTCAAGAAACAAAGATGTAGGTGAATGAAACTCCTTATAGACTTTAATTCTAATGCATATTTTGAACAACTGTTATTCAGATTTGGCTCATTTGAGCTATAAAAAAACTTCTAAATGCATGAATGTTTATCAAATAAATTTATAATGCAGATATATTGAGAAAGAGGAATAAATACATTTATTTCTGATGTCAGACAGAGAAATTCTTTTTCACAAAAATTAAGTCCCATATTATTAACAGTAGCTTGATTATGTGGTGTTGATGAGCAGTGGTGCCATTCTGTCAATGAACATTTTGAAGACTTCCAGTTACATCTAACTCTCAGTATCACAATTCAAAGAGATTTTACCTTTTGAACAAACTGAGGATTGACTGCAATTTCTCTGTCCATTTCTCGTAGCTTTTCCTCTACCAGAATGGCTTTCTGCATCTAAAAAAATGAAAAATTCTGGTGATGTGATCCTGACAAAGTAAAATTAATTTATGTTAAATTAAGAATTGTTGTAAGAAATGTGAAGATCATAGAACTTCTAACTCATATTGATTCAAAATTCTAGAAAACTCAGAATGAAGGTGAGTAGAATAAGTTTGTTATTGATGCAATCTGCAGCAGTTCAATGTTAAAAAATTGTAGAAAGAGCATTACAAAATTAATGTAATAAATCAAATGAGAGAAAATTCTATTAACCTCTTTATCTAATTGTAGTAGCATGCCAGCACTTTTGTACTGCTCTGGGTTGTCATGGAAACTGACCATACCATCTTTTTGATTAATAGAGGCAAATATTTCACCATCTTCTATCTGTCATAAAAATACAAAATATTCATTTCATACCGAAGTGCTGGATACATACATGTACATGTATATAAATCTTGATATTAAATAACTGAATCATGCTTGCTAAATATATTACTACTTACCATGTGTAGAACATATTTTTCTGCTTCTTTAGGACTGGCTAATTGTACACGATTAGCCATATCGGCCAAAGATAGTGTTAAAAATGTCTGAAAAAAAAAGACGGAGATTTCACCTTCCTTATTCATCAATTGCAATTACATTTCACTCTTTTCAAATCATTGTTTGATATGACATTTAATCATTGCGAGAATGCATTTGAAATACATCACAATTAACTATTATGAATTTGTACTGGAAACAGATATTTAGGAGAAAATAAATCTTTGACATTAAAATTGTATTTCTTAATGCATGTAAATACTGTATATTAAGCTTATATATTTACCTTCGTTAATCTTTGAATATTTTTCTTGTAAAGTGAGGTAATGCACTGTTTTACCAAGCCCATATTGTTATCCTAAAAAGACATAATTCCTATTCATAAAAAATCTAATTCACAAGGTCCATCAGGGTTGTTAACTTTAATTACTAGTAATACATTTTCCTACAAAAAAGTCATTTCTGAAGTTTAAATAACATCATTGTAGAAATAAAGGGGGAGTTTCGATAAGGCCGCTTTGCGGCCCACTTTTTTTCATGAATATAAATTTCAATATTTTTTTTCCAAATCAGTTTATAATTCAAGATAAATATGTTAACTTTTGTTATATATATTTCAAAAGTTGAGGTGTTATATATTTATTGCTGCAGTTACGCCGTTTTTAGATGTATCTTCAACGCGTTAACATTAGGCCTATGGGAAAACACGAGAGGATGGCATTCATTAATCGATGTTTAAAGTATGAAGTGCATGAGGGACACTCACCAAATTTTGCACAGTTACTACACATACAATATACATTATTGCCTTAAAATTTATTAAGTGTCGCTTGTGCACTTCATATTAAAAAAAAACAAAATTGCACAAAAAATGCGTATCTAAATTTAGAGGCACTCTGTCACTTGATCTGATCAAGTATTTAAATCATCAGCAAAAAGACGCAGATATTGTTTTCATTGATGCGGATTTTCAAAAACATAAACGATATATAGTTTAAACCTATCTCCTCATTATTTTGATACGAAATTCATCGCCTATATATGATATTTACGTCTTTTTTTCTAAAGTCATACAACTGTGAAAAAATTACTTGTGTTCTTATTTAAATTATCTTAGAAATAATTATGCCCTCTAAAACTTAACATTTTTGATTCTGAATGTGTTTAATACATGTATTTGTATTATTATTATTCGCTCATAATCTTGACAAGTATTGTTTTAAAGAAAAGCCTAAACATTTAAATGTTCCTGTCTATCAAACGGGATAGTGGGGTTGCAAAGTTGTTTTTATTTGTTCCGCTCATAATTTATTCATCTCTTTCGTTTCATGGTTATAGCCTGAAGAAAGTTATTTAAGCCTTTCTTTAGAATGGAATTCCTCGCTCCAGCCTGCTAGAGAGGCGCTCATATATACCTCCATGTGGGTGAAACAGGGAAAATGTAATGTTTTACGTCTGGATGTTGAGGTGAATATTTTCTGCGGAACTTAAGATCCAACACATATCTTTGGCGTTTACACATGCATTTTGAACTGCGGCTCTAGTTTAGCAAACTAGATGCTAGGGGGAACCTCCTTTATGGTCAGCCCTGGGGAGTTGCAGATACCCATCTTGTCGTAGACATACTGAAACTCTCTAAATGAGGTGTGAATGGAGCTGTTGAAGCAAGATGAGTATCTATGGAGAGCTGGGAAGCGGGAGGGACTTAGTCCTGGCTGTGATTGTCTCAGCTGTGCTGAGAACGCAACCCAGACCTGAATGTGGGCAAATACCTCTAACTCGAAATATAGATGATTCAGAATCTAAAAATTGTTGTCTTTGTCATAGATACGAGGGTCGTTAGAAAAGTTCGCGGACACTTTGAATTACGGAAAATCTATTTTGTACTGTGAAGTATGACCTATGTCTGAATAAATTCCTACATTTTGTTTATTGGTATGTAAAAAATCAGGTCCATATAATAAAATCTTGAAAATTTACAACGATTTTAACTATGAGGTCATGGAATTCACGGAGCAATCACTTGACGTAAGGCGACGTGACAACCTGATTTCAACCGGTAAAGTTTTGTCGTAGTGTTCTATAAATCTTTCATTTCTTCAGATTTTTCTTATCTATTTTCTACTTTAAAATTGAATATCTGTATCAAGACATATTACTTTTCTTTTATATAATGTCTTTTGTACTGATTCGGATATTATTGAGATCTTTAAAAAAGTCTATGCAGTTAATCGATCAGGTATGGAAACTATGCAAAACCATATAGGCGCAACGCAACGTCCATGCGATACGGGGGTATTGAAGTATCGATGGAGGTAATCATTCAAAATGTTAATCCTTCCATTCTTATGAAGCTACAACCATTTGAAAACTTGTCCTTTGTAGGTGTAGGAAATTCCCGGCAGCATCTTGAACATTTTAATCTCAGACATTTTCCAGTCTGCATACATAATTTTTACATAGTGCAGTGCTCCATGACGCTAAATGACGTTCCGATTTTTGGCTGTGTTTTTAAGCGTTGATCAGTTAAAAACGGCTATAAAACAGTCATATACCCTCCAATTTAGTTCAAAATTTCTCCCAGTGACGTTTCATGAATACTATAGCGGCAGGTAAAATATCATAAAACTCTTTGCGGTACAATTGTGCATTTTTTAATTTTAATAAAGAGTCTTTGTGATGTAAACGTGCCAAAATGTAGCATGCTCCGTGAAGCAAGATTTATCAAAATAAAAAAGCTGTATATTTTTCAATAATCATCGGAGAGCACCAAATTCTTGTATACTAATTGGAAAAATGGTAAAGATTTTATCTGCAAAGTTTGACCGGTTTCGTGGAAATAGCGCGCTCACAATAAAACTTGTCCGCGAACTTTTCTAACACCCCTCGTATGTTCGCAAGAATAGCAGAAAGGTTATAAATATGAAGAACCAAGGTCTGTACAATTATATTTCACAGAAACTTCAAGGGTCTGGGTCTTCTCTGAACATAGAGTCAGACATAATATGCAATTTCTGTCGAACTGAGTTTTATAGGGTACAAAATCTAGAGTCTAGCAGTGCAATAGATTCCCTTTTAGAGAAAGATCATAATGTACACAGAAACGACCCATCCTTTCAAAGCCCTAAACGAATTCGGTTGTCTATACCCCGAGCCAGTTTATCACATTGTAAATGTCAGTTCTGTTCAAAAACCAAGAACCTAAGAACTATCACTGAAGAAATCAAAATGAAGGCATTCGTAGATAAAGGAGTTCTTATCCCAGTAGGTGTTGTGAGCGTCATATGGTTGATGGTAAAATTGACCCCAAAGTATTGGACAATCTTTCGCCAACCTCTGACTTCACTAACTTTAACAGATCAGAAATTACAACTATGCTGCTTAATTACCTTAAGAGAAAAATACCTTGAACGAACAGTAGGTATAGACTTTGAAAATCCGCAGTCTCTATCTGATGAAGATTATTACAATCTCAATGGGATCACAAAATCGCAATTTGATGTTCTTTCTAAGTACATATCTCCTCTTAGAATTTCATGCAACAGAGCACCGAGAACATGCCTTGCCCTGCTACTGACAAAAAAATTAAGAACGGGCAATTCTTTAAGTATTTTGAGCAGCATGTTCCAAATTAGAAATAAAAGCATTATTTCCAAAGCTATTGCTAGTGCTAGAGATGCCTTGATGGAAAATTTTGTGCCTAAGTTTCTTGGATTTTCCCACATGACCAGAGAGGATTTTATATCCAAACACACAAGGCCCTTTGTTCAGCATCTTTTAGCAGACGGAAAGCCCATTGCTATACTTGTACTGGATGGTACATATATTTACATCCAAAAAAGTGGCAATTACACTTTTCAGAGACAGACGTTCAGTGGTCACAAGCATAGGCCTCTTGTAAAACCAATGATGGTTGTTGGAACAGACGGGTATATCCTATCTGTTCTTGGACCATACCTAACTGATGGCAAGAATAATGATTCTGCCATATTAAACAGTGTTATCCAAAATAATGTTGAGGAAGTTCAAAGCTGGATTGAGAAAGAGGACTTACGAGTTGTCGATGGGGGTTTCGTGATTCGTTGGATTTTTTGGATAAACTGGGGATAAAACATGAAATGCCTGATTATTTATCTCGTGGATGTAAGCAGCACACAACAGAGGAGGCTAATCACTCTAGATGTGTGACAAAGGTCAGATGGGTTGTAGAGTCGCCAAATTGCAAAATCTAAACGTGGAAAGTGCTAGACCAAGTGGTTCCAAACACCCAGATAAAATGGATAGGTGATTATGTTAGAATTGTTTGTGCTATTGTCAATGCTTTTCGACCTCCTCTCGTATCAAACAGTGATGAAGATATTGCTCTTGCCAATGAAATGAAACAACTGTCAAGAAAGTCAAATGAACTTCGAGAAATGGTTGAAAGAGAAAACCTTTCCAGTAAACGAGCAATTTGGAGTGAGATTTCCCAGGATTGTATTAATAACTTTCCTGGCTTAACAGAAAATGACTTGCGAACACTTACACAAGGGGTTTATCAAATTAAACAAGCAAAATCTTATACAGTGGAACACATGTCTACAGATAGATCATACAGCATATCTGTCCATAGGGATGACGCTGGGCTACTTCGAGCTAGAATCCAGTCAAGACACGTATCTGCTAAAAAATATTTCCTATGGATTTCCTACGATGAACACTCAATACCTCCCATAAATGGATGGTACTGTCAGTGTAAAGTAGGATCAAGAACAGTGGGATGTTGTGCTCATATTGCAGCCGTTATTTGGTACCTTGGTTATCAGAGACATCATGCAGTCGATAATCAAACTTTTTCAGTTCATGACGGGGCAATTCTAAATGCAGCAGACACTGAATGGGATTCCGAAAGCGATTAAATAAATCAAGTCTTTACAATCTTTATATGATAGGGAAACAGTCAATGCGTTTTTTTTTTTAGAATTGTCGATACATATAATCATTATTCATGATATAAAAAGAAGTTTGTCTCTGAGAATATTATTACTATAAATGCATGGTATGGTATATATTTTTAATATTGGAACCATAAATAATTTTATATTCAAATATATTTTATTAAATTTTTAAATTAATATAACTATTTTTATATAATTTGGAGAATGCATTATGGTATATTTTAATTTTTTTTTTTAATTTAAGTATTCCCTAAAAGTAAAATCGATGAGAAAATTATCTATGTTTTACTTATACACTGAATATTCCCGTTTAATATCAAATCATTGTTTTGACTTCTACTTATCTTTGTCTACTTTTCTTTGTATTTTCCCCAATATGAAAATGACTTATTCTACATGAATTTCAAAAATATGAACAAAATATCAATTTAATTTGATTTTCAACCTTCTGTATTTGATGCTTTAAGCTAATCCTACGTTCCAAACAAAAATTATTGTTCAATAAATGAGAAAAAACTCGTACCATATATAAAGCATTCACACATTTATTACAAAACATTTTTCAGTAAGAAAATCAATAAATTTGGTAATTTTTGGTCTTTACTAAAATATATCTTAGGTTTCCTGCGATATTTTTAGTTTTAAATCTCAGTCCTCGGCTATTAAAAACATCCATTCTAAAAATAAAGGAAAGGGGGTATACTTAAATTTTCAAGTATCACGTGATCGGAAAATGCGTAGTATAAATTATTTTCATATTTTCTGAAAGATAAAAGGTTAATTAACAAAATATTAAATTTTCATAAAATTTCTTGAGGGGTGGGAAAACGGCCTTATCGAAACTCTCCCTTTAGCCATGCAAAGCTTTCAATAACCGAAATACTTGCCGTACCCTGGTGAAGGTTTCCTGATACTTGTTTACTGTGGCTCGTAACTCGGAGGGCGTGTTAGATCCGTAAGTCAAAGCCAGATCATGGTAAGCCTGGCATAATGGCTGAAATCAAGATTAAGGATTAAAAAGAGCCCTTGTATTCAAGTACATCTCTCTGATTAATTAATATAAAAAAAAAATCTATTGCAAACAACTCATTGTCTAAAGAGACTAAGTTTTGTATAAACTTGAATACTAAGAGATGATCTGTATTACTTACCTTTATATATCTTGTGACTACCTGTGATATATATTTTGGTAGATTGGGAACCTGCAATAACATTGAAATAATAAATATATTCTGATGGAAATAGTAAAGCATCAACTAAACCCTCTTGTAGTACACCACTGAGATATCATAAAATAATCTTATCATGAAATTCTTATCAGATGAAAAATTTTTTTACACATGTAGGTAAGAATCTATAATATTTATTTCCAATAACTTAACACTGAGAGACACAGCCTTCATCTAACCTTTCCATGTAGAATAAGAGCAACAAGGATGTACTTTTTGTAAGCTTCTAACATGATATGACTGACAGCCATACTGGGTGTTGTTATTGCCTAAAATTCAAACAAAATCATAAATACACAGAATTTATTAAACATTAGAATACGGAAACATTAAACAACAAAATCTAATTTTCAAAACAAGACAGCACAAAGATTTTTCAGAATTTCTTTAAAATAAGGAACATTATAATTTATAGAGTGACATGGGATTAAATAAAGCATTTTTAAACTAATTTTTCAGGATACAGTTCACTATGATTAGACTTGTCATACTTACTATTTCATACATATACAGAGCTTTTTCATAGTTCTTCAGAGCTGTGTAGATCATTCCTCCATAATAATAATATAACAGAAAATCTTTGGCATCATAATGACCTCCCTAGTGAAAATAATTAATAACATTCATTAATGTGAAAATAAAGTTTAAGAACAAGTCAGTGCTTGCTATTG